AGTTAGAGGTTGAAAAAATGCACTTAAATGTCAGTTTGATAGACGCCAAAAGAACATTTTCCACATATGTTTGCATTTAAATGTTATTGGAACAAGATGGAAAAAGTAACATTGATACAAAAGTAAGGTTAAGGCATTAACTCTTAAGGATTGTGATTTAAAAAAAAATCAGTAGAGTTTGCCAGTTTTATCCATGTGTTTTTTAAGCACTAAAAATAAAAACCTGCCTTTTATTTACTGTTACCTGCAAGTCCTTCCCCACCCTCCACTTTCTCTTTGAGGATATCAAGCTGTAAAGGTCTGAAATGTTGCATACAATTTATTTCAGTGGTTTTGACATGTTAGAAAAACCCTTAAAGATAACTTTTACAAATAGAGGCAGGAACATAAATTTGTCAGTGCTGTGTATTTAACTTTCTAGAGAATAAATGTAATCCTTTTTAAATCTTCTCTAATTTACTTACTGGCTTTGAAGAAGTCATAATGAGCATGCAATGTGTTCTTTACAGTGTGGGTATGTGGAATTAAGTTCACTTTCTTCAGAGGCTGCCTCAGCCTCATTCATTTGTCGTATGAATATCCCACTGAGATGTCTTCTAAGAATCTAAAGACAGGTCTGGTGCCAGCATTTCCTCACAACAACCTTTTCAGGCAGGTCAACCCTTCCATACTGTGTCCAGTTCTGGGCACCAAGATTTAGGAAAGATGAAAGTAAATTGGAAAGGGTCCAGTGGAGGGCGACAAAAATGATCCAGGGTTTGGAAACACTGCCCTCTGAGGAGAGACTGGGAGGACTGGGCATGTTCGGCCTTGAGAAGAGAAGACTGAGGGGGGACAAGGTGTCCCTCTCTAAGTCCCTCCAAGGCTGTCACAAGGAGGAAGGTCAAGATCTCGTCTTGCTGATGCCGGAGTGTAGGACACGGAATAATCAGTTCAAGTTGCGACAGCCCAGATTCAGGCTGGACATCAGGAGAAGCTTCCTCACTGCCAGAGCAATGCGACAGTGGAACCAGCTGCCTGGAGAGATGGGGGGCTCTCCCACACCGGAGACATTCAGAAAGAAACTGGGCAGCGCTCTGAGTGGGGTGGTGTGAATGGGCGTCCTGCAACAGCCGGGGGCTGGACCCGATGGCCTTCATGAGCCCTTTCAACTCTACTGTTCTAGGATTCTGTGATTCTGAGCAGCTCAGACTAAGAGATGCTAACTGACCTGAAGATGCGGAGTGACTGGGATTTGAACATGGGTTTCCCCAATTCTGGCTCAACATACTGCTGCACCACAACTGCATAGCGGTGAGCTGGAGCAGGGTGGAAGCACAACCTCGGGCTATAATGGGACTCTTTCTGAAAATATTCCTGTTGGGTCACATCCTGATTAGCACATGCCGCACACATCTATGTGCCAGCTGAATCATGGGTTGCAAAAAGATTTTGAAACTACGTTTATATATTCCATGAGCTGAACATGTCTTTTAAAACTTTCCAAGCTCAAAATAATCCTGTATCCAAGAGACACAGAGCAGGTGGAGTGTGAAGAGCCATTGATGAAATTAACACCCCCCATCCTTGTCTCCTTCCGATCTTAGTGAAGCCATGGCTGACTCTTCTACATTCGGGGTTCCCTTTGGCCACCTCTGTAGTTAGCGCACTAGAGATGGCATCCCTGCGGCGAGTTTTCCCCAGGAAGCCGCCACATAATGCCGCATCATTAGGTTGTGGGTTCTTATGCTCCCTCCAGCCAGCTCCACTGGAAGGAATAGCATCTGACTCCTACGCTGGGGCTCACGCCATCGCTGCAGCATATCTATTTAGCTCATGGTAATGGTGCATCTGGGTCACTTATCCGAGGTTCCATAAAAAGGCTGCGGAAGGTCATGCTTGCATAATCAGAGAATTCATGCAACCATCCTGAGATTTCTGTCAGTTATTTTTCCTTATTTATATCCTAGTTTGTGTGAATGGGAAGCAAGCGGGACAGATCTGCGCCACTTGTATTCATTTAAATATTCACCCATGCTAAATGGATGATCTCAAAATACAAGGAGAATGAAAAGTAACTGTGTAATGGGAGTCAGGAATCCAGAAACAAAAAATAATTGAAATAACACTTAGTCTTGACTACCAATTTGATGGCTGAAATCTTGTCTTCAAAAGGATTGAGATGCCAGAACATGGGGCTACACCGGAACCAAAATGCCTCTGTGGCTGATGCTGCTCCAAATAGTAACAGCACTGCTACTACTACTAATAATTTGGTAATGTTAATAAGGATGCAGAAAATTAAATGAGCTTGCAGTTGCATAATTCAGTGGTACAAGGGGAAGAAAAGTCTCCTGCAAGAATGCTGGGCTTGCGTGTGCTGCTGGGATTAGGCTGCAGCTTGGCCACCCGGACTGGCCCAGTGCCCACGTGCCGCGTTGGCTCCCGTCTGGCTGCACAATTGCAGTGATTCTCTCTGGCGGACCTGCCGTTTGCCGCAGGGACCTGTGAAGCCTCGTCACTTTACCCTCACACCACAGACTTTTGCGGCACTGTGGAAAGCGCTTTTGGGTCCCGGATATCCATGACGTGATACGTGCAGTTCGAAGACGAAAGCGAAAGCCTCACTGGGGTCGGCCAGAACAGGGCCACAAAGCGCCAAGGCCGTAGCTTAAAGGGAACTTTGAAGAGGACAGCTGAGCCCACTTGCGCCCCATTGCTCAGATCATGTGGCCAGATCAGGTAGTGCAGGTTCCCATTAAAGTCGTGTAGGTCTCACCTCCTTAAACTAATTAAATGTAGATTATGTTTGGAGTTAGTTGTTGGAATAACCATTTCCCCCCATCGCTTATGAGTATAACTAAAACGGTTTTGTTGCATAATGAACAGCATCTTCCAATTGTACAATAGCAGAATGTCGAAACAAGCACTCGTCCGGCCAATCTTCCCCATCGCTCTCACTTTTTAAGACTGCATCTAAAACCTGCAGCAACAGTTGTAGTTGCCCGCTTCCGGGACAGGCAGGCCAGATTGCTCCCTTTCTTTGCTGACAGGCTTTCTATTTTTCCCTTCCAGTGGATAGTCAGCATTCTGTGCCGTAGACATCACAATGTTTGGTTTCTGCTTTGATACTTTATTATGTGGCTTGTCTCTGGGTTCCTTCCTCCTGTTTCTCAGCGGCCCCGAACGTTTCCTTCAGTCTTACCCAAGCTCAGCCCCGAGAGGTGGGCGCTGGTGACCGATCAGGCCTGCTTTCCAACATGCAACCTGGAATGGTGCCCTGCGTGTCCACACGAGTTTTCATGGTGGTTTTTTGGAAGCCTAAACCTGCTGGTTAAAAGGGATGATAAAATGGACGGAATGAATGAATAGCTCTGCATCACTGGAGAGACTTGCGCATAATGGATACTGCAGCATGAAGCTGCTTTGAGGAGGCACAGACTATAAAAGTGAAATAGAACAGGGCCTTCATAAGAAAGTAAGCAAATCCTGCATGTCAGTAACCATTCAGAATACGGTGCATAATGGAGTTTATCCCAATAAGCTCAAATTAAGATAGGGAAGCATTTACTGTCCTTGCTAAACAGCGGCTGATTTTCTGCCTTATTTGGGGAGTAGTTATAGCGCGGTATCTCCAATTCAATAGATTTTATTTGCAATTTCAGAATACTAAGACAGGAGTTGGGAAACACTTGACGAGCAGCACTTCCTGTATCATGGATAAAGGCTGCCACTGAAAGGTAGCTATTACAGACTGTGCTGGTCAACATTTCCTGAAGCTGTAATTAGCAGCTATCAACGGATAGTTTAGCCTCACATAGACAGTGCCTAAACTGTGGGGTAGTGATACATGGACACGCCTTCAGGTTGCCAGCTTTCTTCTCTCTTCTCCAGATCAGCCATGAGGAAATCGGAAGCTTTTTGTTTTTATTTTCATTTTACCTTAATAAACTCTGGCTAAGCTGAAGTGCTCCAGAGGCGATACGTGGTCCCACAGCCCTGCCATCTTCCAAAATTCAGGGGAACACCCCAAAGCCCCCTTCCATAGCACAAATTGGCCTCCAGAGAAGCAACATGATGCGAGAGAGTCAAAGTCAATGCAAATGCAAGTAGATAAAAAGGCGCCACTTCGGTGGGCAGGTAACAGCGTTCCATGCACCGGTTCAGTCATGCCGGCCGCACGAGCACGGAGACTGTCTGCAGACAAATGCTGGCTCCCTCGGCCAGGAGACGGAGATGAGCACTGCCCCCCCCCCCCGGAGTCAGGCATGACTGGGCTTTAATGTCAAGGGGAAACCTTTACCTTTAACCTTTTTTTTACCTGTCTGCCACTGTACAGTAACTCCAGAGCCAATTTATTCCTAGCTTTTATTCCCTTCCTGGTTTTGGCACCTGGGTGTGTGGGGCACAGTCTTGTGGATGGCTGAAGTGTCTCACCTTCTCAAACTGTAGTTTAGGAAGTCAGCTGTTCTGCCTAAGCCAGACCTTCCCAACCTGGTGTTCTCTAGATGTTCTGGACCATAACTCCCAGTATTCCTGACTGGCTGGCTAAGGGTGATGGGAGTTGAAGTCCAAAACATCTGGGGGACATTAGGTTGGGGAAGGCTTCTCTGAACCATAGGATCAGTAATTGTTTAGTGTTTGGAGGTAGTGATAAATAGTGCTTAATTGGAAATTGATATGCAAGTTTCCAGTCTCTGTGCAAGTGCACTGGTTGGAGGAAAGGCCAGGGGAAAGAGTACAAAGCCTGGGCTCATCCATATAATGCGAAATCCCAGGTCTGTTTGCTTCCGGAAGGTTTGCATCAGCTACTGGTGCAAATGCAGAGTCGCACAATTAATATGTCTTGCTCCCTTTATTTTTTGCAGGGGACATTGTACACTCAACACAAATTCCCACAGGGTGCTTCAGAAATTCATACAAACCTGATATTAAATATTATGACTGCATTGCATGTTAAAATTCCAAAATGTAACTGTTTTTTCTCCTCTCCAATTCTCCTTTCTCTCTATTCCTTGCAGATTTGAAGAACTTGTGAAAAAGTTCAAAGTGGAATATCATGCTGGTGGATCTACACAGAATTCTGTTAAAGTAGCCCAGGTTTGTTGCCCCTTAAAATAATTAAATATGGATGGTATTTGGCGTTAGTCATTGAAATAATGTCTTCCCCTCATCTCTTACGAACCGAAAGCATAACCAAACCACGGCACGGAAGCATTCTGCTGTTGCCCCCAATTCTGAGAGCTGTATGTGAGTGGAAATGCTGGTCATCCAAAGGACTGTCCTCTTCCACCTTTCTTCCCCATTTGCGCGTGCTGTTTGTTTGTTTCAGTGTGTGGCTAAGCCAAATGGGGTTCTGTTTTGGCCAACAGCAAGCTGCAAGGAAGCGGGGCATGGCTGGCTCTGGTAAGGGTAGAAGGGGCCGTGCCGTATGACTAAGCTGCAGTCAGGAAAGGTTATGCGCACGGAACTGTGTGACAGGACAGCCGCCACAGAATCCAAGGTGAGCCGCTTAGGAGATTGGGGGCAACGGCTGTGCAGTTCGCCACTTTGGCCGCTTCTGAATGTTTGCTCTGGCAGCGTCAGTCTTGTGTTCAGTTCTGTCTTAGACCCCTTTGTTCCTGCTCCTGGCTTATTCCTGTGGAGTTAGTTCCTTCTCTGGATTCTGGAACTTAATGGAGCATGAAGATATAGTTCACTCTCTAAAGTTAAATAACTATCTTGGGGACAGGGAGGTTTAACCTCCATATATGAATTTGAAAAACAAAGCTTAAATGGGGAAAACATCGAAAGAGTTTGCATTTAGGATTCCTCAAATTACAGATAAAGCTGAACAATCCCCAAAGTTACTGTGAATGTGAAATTAAAATCCCCCGTAAGTGTTTCCTTACCTCTGCATAGCTGTTTCTCCAAGACAAGGTGTGGGACAGGATCCCACCAACCCGCCCTAGAGGCTGCCTGAGTGAGCTGGGCAGAGGCTCCACTGCCACTGAGCTGTAGTGCTGGGGACAGGGAGAGAAGCAGGCTGGAGCACCAGTGGACACTGGCCTGGGTGGGGGTCTCCAGCACCCTCCTCCTCCTCCTCTCGGCTGATTGGGCACTTTTGGGCAGGTGTCGTTCCTGCTGCCCTCCGTGCTCCTCCGTATCTGTAGATTCATATGTACTTTATTCACCATGTTCTTACTGCACTTCACAAAATGATATATATTGATTCTGGGGTGTTGAAAGTGTTGGAACTGTTGCAAATGTGCATTGATGGCAAGTAATTCCACACAGTACAGATTTGGGTGACTAACACCATCCACCTGGGTTAACCCAACTTCTGCTTTTCAGGAAAAGCAAGTTTTAAAAATCAGAACATTTTCATCTTAGGAAATTGCCAGGAAGTGCTCCTCACGGGAATGAGGCCATCAGCTTCAGAAAGACCGAAAACATACTAGAAGCTCACTTGTGCTTGCTGTTTCTTAAATGTTGGCACATTGCCATTGCTTCCATGCGTGCCGGATCTATTGTGCCGTTTTCATGTGTGAATGTAGTGAAACACGACATAAAGCTACCTGCTTTTGATGAAAAAAGCAGTAGGCCTCATTAGCCTTTTGATTACAGAGTAACTGTACCTAGGTAAGTTATACTTGCAGGCTCCGTTTTGGCCAGAGTTTTCTCATTATAGCACTAATTCACTTTTACTTGAATTTTTCCTCCAGAATTCAGAAGGAAGGAAATACCGGGGGGGGGGGGGGAATTTGCAGAGCATAGCGGGCAAATGCTAAGCTAGCTCAAGAAAAAGCCGCAGTGAGCTTGTCGTTCACGGAGCAACCCCACAGTGCACCCGGCAGACGAAAGGGCTCCCCGTTTTTATGGTAGCTGGGTTGGGAGGGTTGCCATAGGAGGAGAGATGGAGGGACCTGGGTCTGGAGAAGAGGCGACGCCGAGTGACTTAAGGGTGTGTGGGGGGATGCCATGTGGAGGAGGGCCAGGACTTGTTCTTCCCTATAGCGGTGGTCTGATGGGGCAAGGCTCAAGGAACTGGGCTTCAGGCTGATGTCAGAAAGTACCTCCTGATGATTAAGACTCGTAGGATATTGTATGGGCTCCTAAGGGAGGTGGTGGAGGCTCCGTCATTGAGGGTGTTCAAGGAGAGGTTGGACAAGCATGTGTTGGGGATTACACGAGCGCAGCCGGCTGGATCTGGGGGTCAGACTAGATGGCCTGAAGGCTCCTTCTGACTCGCTTGGTTTCTGTGTTTCTGTTGGTTTGCAGAAACTTGCAAGCACAGTCACTGGGCCACGTACACATGATGTATTTGGAGGGGGGCAGGAGGAGGAGATATGAATTTGTTACACATTTTATATGCTTGTATTTAAGTGATAGTTTTAAATTAAAATTTAAAAAGGACATTGCCCTGGCAAAAAGATGTATATCAGCCAACCAGAAGCCTCCCCTTGCACACATCCAACAGGCTGACACTTACAAAAATCATAAAGACTTCTTTCTGGGGCCAACTTTTTTTAAGGTGGCAAAGCAGTGACCATCCTTCAGAGTGCTGCTGGGACATCGGTGGGGGTGGCAGCGTGGCACGAGATCCCCAAGGGCTCTTTGTGGTTCTTTCCATGAGGCTCACTACGACCCACAGTGAAGTCAGTATTCTAGGTTCGGTTCACACCTCAGCCCATCGTGAGTCAGACAACCCTGGGACAAACGAAGGGTTGTAAGCGCCGCGTGGTGACCAAGCATAAGCCACCTTGTAGGAAACGACCTGGTTCAGATGACAGGACAGCCCCATGGCCCCTTAACCCTGATGGGTTGCCATGCCATGCCATGGATTGGTGCCATCTGCGATCCTAAGGATGTTCCATGGAAGGAGCTGTCAGATTGTAAAAAATCATAGCCTTTAGTTCCTGGCTTGCATTCAGGAGAAAACGCATTTTGTGTTAATTTGTAAAATGGTAAATAAAATCTTCATGGTGTCATTCAAGATTACTACTTGGATTGGTTTTATTCCAATTGGTTTTATTCGGATTGGCCGTGGATTGGTTTTATTTATTTGTGAGCTAGTGGTGGTCTAGGTGGAGGACAGTAGGATGTTTTAATGGGTTTAATTGTTGGTTTTTAATGGCTTACTAGACCCATGCCCATCTTGCTACTTAAGAAAGCCAAGGACGGGATTGGGACCTGGATCCTGGAGGTGGTCAATGCCTCTTTAAGAGACGGCCGGGTACCTGCCCCTTTAAAGGAGGCAGTAGTCCGGCCAGTCCTAAAGAAGGCATCCCTGGATCCAGAGGTGGCCGCTTATTATAGACCGGTGGCCAACATCCCGTTCCTGGGCAAGGTGCTAGAGTGGGTGGTGGCAGGACAACTCCAAGCACTCTTGGATGAAACTGATTATCTGGACCCATTTCAGTCCGGCTTCAGACCCGGGTATGGCACTGAATCTGCCTTGGTCACCCTGTACGATGACCTGTGCAGGGAGAGAGACAGGGGGAATGCGTCTCTGTTCTCCTGGACCTCTCAGCGGCTTTCGATACCATCGACCATGGTATCCTTCTGAATAGGCTAGCGGGATTGGGAGTTGGAGGCACCACGTGGCGATGGTTCCACTTCTATCTCAACAGCTGATTTCAGAAGGTGGGGCTGGGGGACTATGGCTCTGTGCCATGGCAATTATGCCATGGAGTTCTGCAGGGGTCCATTTTGTCCTCTGTGCTATTTAACATCTACATGAAACTGCTGGGAGAGGTCATCAGGAGGTGTGGGCTGCGGAATCATCAGTACACTGATGATACCCAGCTCTACCTCTTGTTTTCCACCAATCCAGGTGAGGCAGTGGCTGTGCTAAACCGGTGCCTGACCGAGGTAATGGGCTGGATGAGGGCCAATAAACTGAAGCTCAATCCAGACAAGACAGAGATCCTGTTGGTGGGTGACTCAGGCCTCGGGATGGGAGACTTGGGCCTTGTCCTAAATGGGGTTGCACTCCCTCTGAGGGACAGGGTTTGCAGCTTGGGAGTGCTCCTCGACCCTGAGCTGTCTTTGGAAGCTCAGGTGATGGCGGTGGCGAGGAGCGCCTTCCTTCAGCTTCGGCTGATACATCAGCTGCGTCCCTGCCTGGAGAACGACTGCCTGGCGACAGTGACACACGCGCTGGTAACTTTCCGATTAGATTTCTGTAATGCGCTCTACGTGGGGCTACCCTTGAAGACGGTCCGGATACTTCAGTTGGTGCAGAATAGAGCTGCCAGGTTGCTGACGGGGACTGGGCGTTGTTCTCATATAACCCCAGTTCTCCGTCAGCTCCACTGGCTTCCGATTGAAGTCCGGGCCCAATTCAAGGTGTTGGTTATGACCTATAAAGCCCTAAATGGCTTGGGACCTGGATATCTAAAGGAACGCTTGCGCCCATATATGCCCTCCCGCCCCTTGAGATCAGCAAGAGATGCCCTTCTCCGGGAACCCTCTGTGAATATTAGGAGGGTGAGTACCCGGAGCAGGGCTTTCTCTGCGGTGGTGCCCAATCTATGCAATGCGTTCCCCAGAGAGCTCCGCCTGGCACCGTTGTTATTTGCTTTTCGGCACCAGGCTAAGACCTTTTTATTTAAAACTTATTTTAATTGCTAAATTATTGAATTTATTAGGATTTTAAAATTAGCCGAGAATGCACTGGGGGTTTTTAAATTTTTTTCTTTTAAATTATTATATTATTATTATTTATGTATGTTTTTATGTATTTTTTGTGAGCCACCCCGAGGCTTTGTTGCGATGGGGGCGGCATAGAAATGTTTTAAATAAATAAATAAATAAATACTTGACAGTATAGTCATCATCCTAGGATTCCAAAATGTCACAGAAATTTGCTGTGCCAAGATTTTATTTCTGCCTTAGGCCACAATACTGTTTGGGCCTTACTTCCAAATAAGGTTACATAGGATTGAGCTGTTTGTCCCCATTGAGTTTATTGGAATTTGAGTTTCTAATTGTACGCAGGATTACAGCCTTATTGTTTGGTTTCTTCTGCAGCACGGGTGCCTTCTATAAAATCATTTCCAGAGGGCTTAGCCAGGTTCGTGTGTTGCAGCAAAAACAACAAAGAATCTTGTGGCATC